CTTAAAATAACCATTCCACCAACCTAACACAGAAAATACAGAAACAAGAGATTCATAGAAGTACCTTCAAGTCTTCACAACTTCAGTTGACTGTCTCACAGATGGTTGGGGAGGTTGTTGTAGTGTTACTCTGAATGTTAAGATCTTCTTATATACAGTCACAGGAGCAGATGTCATCTCATTGGCATTGTTGGGAAATTGCAATTATTAGGAAATCCTTCCACCTCCACATTTTGAGGTGTGACTATTTATCAGAGATTGAAAACACATCTTGACCGCATGATATGTAGCATTCATTTAATAGATATTTATTATATAAGAAATAATATACTTTAGTTCACTGAATTTGTCTAAAATTATAACATAAATATTAGTTTTATTGCAGTCAAAAAACATTTTGGTTTACCACTGTTATGGAAGTAGTCTTGTTATTCTCCACCCTTCAGTATTAGCAAATCGGAAACTAGATGCCACACATGGTAATACCTGGTCTTGTGATTACAAATGAAGTGACTTAGTGGCTTAGGCAAGTAACAGGCAACACCCAATGAAGCATGCATTTCTTTTTGACTCCTCTTGTTTTAGGAAACTACTACCTTATAGGAAGTATAGCACACAAAATGGTGTTTTTTATTTCTGATTTTTATTGAATTATTTTTTTAATAATTACCATCATCATTGTTGTCATCATGTACTGTTTCTAAGAACAGGGATCGAAGTCATGGAAGAAGAAATTAGCAAACAATGTGTGAAGTAATTGTTGTTTTGCACATAATTAAGCATGACTAAGATGTGTTGTTTTGAGAAATGTGTGGTGTGTCTCAATGTCCAATGTCTGATATAAGTATCAATGCATGATGGGCCACACACACATACTTGTACAGCACAGGTGAGTGATACAATAGATGGTATGCACTAAGTGACTTTCTATGTGAAATTTCTGCTCTGTGTTCAGGCAGTTTAATATTACTAATGACATTTTCTTGTAGGTTCTCAGAAGCAATGCAGCTCTTGTGTATTGTAGCTTTACTTTTGTCAGCGGTAGCTGCTCTGGTGAGTATTATTTTTGGTGACGATAAAACTGAAACTAAAACTTCTCTGTTTCAAACTGGTCATTCATAATTTTGTTTTTTAGCCAGATTCCTGGAGGCCATGGCAGGATGAAAAGTTTTCACCTACAGGTGGACCCAAGATGGATTCAGACAATGAGGTAACATGGAATAGACATTAATAGATACAAAGGTCAGTGCTGCTTCTACCATTTGTGTGTTACATGTTTCTTATTGAATTAATGAACCTCTGTTTAGCTTGGTTACGATGAGCACTCGGTGACACAAACCCCAGACGATGTAGATGGAGGATCAGGTGGAGATTTGCCAGAATGGGACTCTGACCACCCAGTATGGAAACAATGTGTTTAATCTTATAAATTAACTGTGGCGATTTATGGTAGTTAGAGATGAACATTGACTCTCTTTTCTTGTTTGGGGTAGACACATGAGATGCCCCCATGGTTTGCAAACAGGCCCACTGGAAGACCAGGAAATGGAAATCCACGGGGACCCATGAAAGGGACTGATCGGAATGATCGCCGGCCGGGGAGACCTTCTCAAGTTTCTACTCGGAGCAAAAGACAGGTACTTACCCTAGATTCTTATTTCGTATTCCGTATTCTTAACAGTTTGTTTAGATATTATAAAATAAAACAGTTTTATGGTAAATTATGTGCTGTAACTTTCATGGAAAGCATACTGGGCAGACAGATAACCTGTTGTTAATCAATCAATCAATCAGTAGTTACACAATACAGCTCCCTCTAAAGCCACAAATTGTTGTTTTTGTTTTTCCGTTTGTGTGGGCATTTATGAAACAAGATATGTGTTAAGCAGTGAAATGTTGGTACTGTAGTTATATGTGTGTGCATTAGACAGAAATCATAGAAATCCTTGCATTTTAACAGATTTGGGGAAATTATATGAACAAGATGTTGCGTTACATTTGACCCTGTTACATTAAGCTATAGGCAAATCACTTTGTGGTTCCATACTTCATTTCAGAAATATTACTGCTACTTTCCAAAATGTCAACCTATTTCTTTAGAATTGGCACTATACATTATATAGCCTAGTGGTTATTGAGACTTGCTGCCTACTGACAGCTTATTAGAAAATGATTTACTGTACTCACACTTCTGTCTATCTGTGCTTCACACAGGCTCCTGGTGCCAGAAGGGGGCCCAGTGGGCATTCTGGGAGACCCAAAAAACCTTCAAGAGGCAATAGGTGGCCCGACAGGAGGAACCCCAGTCCACCAGTAAGCTGACAATGAAATACAGGGGCACTATAGCTGTATTCAAATGAAAAATCAGAACAAATTAATACAAAATAAGACAAAAGTGTAATAAACTGGGTCTCAGTAAACTCAGTTCACACTCAGGGACATGGGAGGGGGATTGGAGATGGGGGTGAAACTTGTAACTTAATGATGTTATACAAAATGTGGCATAAAAAAATTAAACTCAATTTCGTCTATTTTATGTCTGTTGCTTTTGTCTTCTATTGTGACACACTATTTGATACCTGCTTTCAAAAAGTGCTTTAAATGTTTCTTAGACATCCCATCTAAACTGGTATTGTTCTATTATTTTTCTTTACTTACTTACTTACTTTTCTTTCTTGTTTTAGGCATTTTCCCCTATTTTCAAGGTAGGAGCACTGTCATTTATTTATGTGATATTAATACACTTTTGTCAGAACAGTTGAAAAAACTGTGTTTTTTTTTTTCAGGTTGACAATGTGACATTTCAGGTAATATCATAAGTAAAAAAATAAAATAAAGTATAAAAATACCGTTTGATATGACAGGCTTCACTGAATATTACAAACATGTTGCTTTCATCCATATAGAACGTCACTGGTGTAACCCTAAAGGAGGTAAACAATATGATGAAAGTTTTCACTTTTATTGAGGAACTATTAACTTTATGTTGTAAATTACACCATCTAATGAAATGTTATGATTCCACTGACCCTTGGTGTGAAAATCTTGCAGGGGGAGAACGTATTCCTGATGCCAATGGTAGGTGACTTGAAGAATCAATAAAGTTGTATCACAGTTAAAGAAAGACTATAAAGATCAATGAATTCTAATGACTGACAATCAATCCGTAGCATGTCGGAAGAGGACATCATCATTATCATCATAGGGTATAAAAATAAATTAATAACTCTTCATAGCCATTATTACAGTATTACTCAGCTATTGGATTTTTACTGTTACTTGTTTTACAGGGAGGGAAACATGGTCCTCCAGAGAATGGGGTATATTGGCTTTAATTTGAGTCTGTATTTTCTACTTTCTACTACTTTTCTATTTTGCTTAGTTTGATCTTTGTTTTTCTTTATTTTAATTGCAGCAATATGTGAAGCTCATCTACAACGCCACCGAGCCGGTAATCTCCTCGGCCCACTACAGAATAAAAATGATGCCTGTTTACTGTATGTTGTATATTGTCTTAATAATAATCATAATTCCTCTTTTTCCATTTCAAGAACCAAGTCTCAGTGGAGTATGGGGTTTTGAAACCTGTAAGTACAGACAGTTTGTAAGCACCATGTATTTGTCTAAATTGATTTTCTATATATTTGTCATTAACATCTAAAATCCCTGCCTTCCATCTCCAGTCTCATGGAACCTTTACCAAAGGCTCTTTGTTTGTATGTGCAGCTATTTCACAGCTAATAGCCAGTCAACAGAACTACTGTTTCCTTTCATATTGAACTGGGATATTATGCACATTGTGTGGTTAATTTGAACAACTTTCTCATTTTCAAGATGAGCGTCGGTGCGATTGTTGCAGACAATCCAGAAGAAGATTACTGACAAATGTAAAGGTGAGGGTGTTATTGCTGTGATACTGATTAAGTTTAATTTCCAGATCATCACTTTGCTGATTGCTGCTGACAAATCTTCTTATCTCATTCTTTCCCTCAGGAAGACACCGACAGCTACAAGTTTGATCAGCAAACTTTGAAGAAGATTATGGTTTTCTTTGCTGTGGTATATTCTGGCAAATGACTCATAATTCGGCATTTCCTGTAAAAGCATCATTTCTGTGCACCACAATAAAATTCTCAAACAAACGACTTTGGTTAAGTTTTTTATTTGACATTTTGTGAAAGCAACGAGCAGATTCCTGAAACAAGCAAGACCATTTCAGTGTAATATAAAAAGAATCAAGTACAAATAAATTGCATTTGGAAGACTTGCACACTCCAGTACATTTTGCAGAAGAATGAGCGACTGTGGCCAAACACACACAAAATTAATTTTTGCCTGAGCACCTTGTTGTTATTTCCCAAGTTACATCTAAGGCTCAAACAGGAAGGGGAAGTTGGAGTGACCCTGGAGAAACATGAAAAATAACAGTTTTAGAAAAATGTTGACTCAAATCCTGCACAATTAAATTAAATGGAACAGAAACCAAGGTTTTGTTTGTCTAAAAGCTTTAAAGGTTGAACGTCACTGTATAAAATCATACCTCATCAATCCCTGGGCCAGATGTGTCGCCACGAGGATCAGGAGGAATTGTAGTAGACTCTTTCTGTGTCCCCTGTGGCCATGTCTGACATAGATAAAAAAAAAAATTACAAAAACATAGCAGTAAGACTCAACTGGTGTACATTTGTCTCTTTCTTTGTTTTTTTGGTGAAATTATAAAAGAGGCTAGATACTTACTTTTTCTGTTTGCACCTTAGGCTGGGAAGCCTGCTAAAATTGGAATATATGAAGGGAAAATAGATTACAAAAACAGTCCTTGAGCATTAAATATATACACATATTAAGAATTGAACTATATATTTTATTTTTTGAGGATGAACCACTGATGCAGTCCTCAAACACAAAACCATGGATTTCAATAGAAACAAAAATATATGCAAATTAACTACACTTCTGTTGCAAGCATCATAACAAACAAGAACTAAAAATGAATTAACAATAGTGCTGAGCAATGAAACTTATAGATATTATAAATAAAAATAAATAAATAATAAATATAGATATTTTATAGTTACTTAACACCCATTGTACACCGAAATGGGGCTAAGGAGACATGATTTTCGCCACTTAACCAGAGAGACTGTTTGCGGTCAATATGGCAGACAGTCGACATTGCATCACAGTCACCGCACATGATTCGACATCTGCAGCTGTGTTATTATCATTAAGTTTTTAGTCATGATGACTGCTGCACATTGTTTAGTAAAATATGCAGCCAATATGCACTGAACACTCCTATGCTGGTCTCCACAAAGCAAATATTCATTTAGCCAGTGTTTTTTAAATAGAGGAATAGAATAAAATGTTTTGAAAAAACATTCAATTACTTCATGTCATTTTGCATGTCTCACCTGAAGAGGGAGCTGTGGTCTCTGTGTGGTTCTCTCCAGGGTTTGCTGACCATTGTTTGGCTGCAGCACTGCAGTATTCCTCTGCTGAGGATAGCCGTACGGAGGCATAAAGTAAGAGAATCCCTGTGGGTGATAGAACCAATTTAAATCTGCACTGAGAATTTAAATAAAGATATTGAGGTTTACCCGCTGGTCATTATGTTTTACTTCATACCTGCTGTCTGGGAAACTGAGGGAATCCATAAGACGGGTACTGGAAATGTGGAAACATCTAAAGGACATTTAAAACAATATTTAATTTCTCCATATGACTGTAAAGGGGGCTTGGAGCAGCTAAAGTGATAACAATAAGCAACTGAACAATTACCTGAACAGGGTTCTGGGCCTGTTGAGGGACATTAGCAGCGTTGGGGTCCTGTGGAGGCCCAAGCTGCTCTTGCTGGCCGTTGGGGATGAACATAGGCGTAAACTGGTTGCCCTGGCTGGGGAGAAACAGCTGGGGCCCCTGGGGACTGAAGGGACCGGCCATTTGAGGGTTTAAGTTCACCACCTGTGGAGTGAGCAGCACCTCAGGCTGCTGCTGCTGCAGCACATATTGGGGTAATATTGAAGATCCCTGGAGAAAAAGAGATCCAGTTCAGTTTACATATTTATCTTTTTACATATGTAAAACAAGTTTAACTGACAAAGAAATGCACATAATATTAGTGCTGATAAATGGACTTTCTGTACCTGTGTTTGTCCAAGAGCTGCAAGAGTTAGTCCATTCAGTCTCAGGATCTGAACACACAAAAAGGTTGTGTTAAATTTGGTAATATGTTTCTAAATGACAAGGGTTTTACATTTTGCAACCAACAAATATAAACATTTGAATAATTATATTTACTTCATTGCTGTTGCTTGCAAGAATTCCAATCTGCACCTGTGAAACAAACATTAAAGAATAACACTTTATCTCTGCTATTTTAGAAAATATGAAAAATATAAACTTTAACAAGACAGAGGTTTTAACTCACTGGAAGAGTAATGCTTGTCCTCAATAGACAGATCAACAGAAGGGTAGTCTGGAGCTTCATGATGTCTTACAGTCTGTAAAAACATGTTCAAAAAACTTTATGAATTCTTATACTTACCATGACAGAAATAAAACAGACCATGACAGAAACAAAGAGCATTACAAATTATTTTACCGTTTCTCTGGTGCTGCTTTCACTGCCTGTGTGCCCGCTTCACCTTGTTCATATCCCTTTTAAATGCTGTCCATGTGAGCTGTTAGTCCACTGCCAACCCATCCAGACAATGTGTGGTCAGTGTGACAGACATTTCTCACGTCCTCAGACTCAGACACTTACAACACAGAACAGGTAAGTATGTCATTAGGTATAAGTCATGTCTCTAAACACCATGACATGGTCTGTATCAAGCTGTTAACAAGTCTCTGAAGAAACTGAATTTAAAATTGTATGTGCTTTCTACTTACATTACATAGCAACTTTTCATAGACTGTTTTGCTTTTACAGGCCAGAACTCATTGACTCTCAGTTTAGAGGGCCAGTGTACACAATGCACTTCTTATATGTTCTCTTAAGTAAAGTTTATGTGCATGTGTTAAAGTGTAGTTCAGGGTGTAATTACAGATGTTGAAGACCGACAGGATTTTTGGCATGTCATGAGAAAAAAAAAGGAAAACAGGCGCGGGGAGCTTATAATCAGACATTTGTCACATGTTGTTCATCAGGCACTGACTAATGTTGGCATCTAATTGGTAAATCATGGGTATTAATTGTTGACTGAGTTGGGATTCATGTTGAGGATTCACAGCAAAAAACTTACACAAAAGTTACACCAGTTGTGTGTTTTTGTGAGTCTGGAGAAGTTGGGCTGATTGTGCACTTTTCATGTCTGTATGTTTTTTGTGTTCAGTTGTAACTTCTTTTTTGGGTTAAAATGTCAATTAAACTTGAGTTGAAACCTTCCCATGTTTTTTAACTTGAAATGTGAACAATATACTTTAAGAGTTACTGATATCATTAACAATGGCTCTATTCCATTCAATTGTCCCAGTGAGCTGTGACAGTTATTTACATCTTTGCTATTTCTACTGCGACATGTCAAAATGTATTTCATGAAGTACAACTTTGAGGTACTTGTTCTTTACTTGAGTATATTAATTTTTTGCAACCTAATACTTGTACCCCACTACATCTTAAAAATCACTTATCTTGGAATTTTATTTTTTCTGATAAACTGAAGGATGATGTGTACCTTTATGGGTTGAGAAAATGATCCAACTTTTTAAGTTAAATAAACTTAAAGCCCTCTTGGATCATAGGACCAGTGTGTAGGATTTAGTGGAATCTAGCGGTGAAGTTGCAAATAGCAACTAACTGAACACCGCTTACATCTGTATTTAATGACCTGGGAATAAATTGTGAAGTGTGTGGGAAATTACAGCAAAACTTGTAAATAATGCAAAAGCTCCTATCTAGAGCCAGTGTTTGGTTTGTCCATTCTGGCCTAATGTATGGTGGTCATGGCAGACACAGAAGGTGAAACACAATGGTTTCTATATTCAGACACTAATAAAACATGCCGATGAATATTACTTTCCATTTATGCCAGCATATCCTCCTAAATGTTACACACAGGACATTTAAAATATATTGTTGAAAACAAGGATGAGATACAAAGATACAAAGATATGCTCTTATATAATATGGTGCACTGATGTAGATTAAACTGTCCATCAGTATGAAATGTAGTTAAAATTAACTCAATGTTGAACATCTACTGTGAAATGCAATATACACATTAATTAAATAGTAATATAACTCCAAAACATCAGATGTAATAGGGAAACACTGACAGGGAACATTTTACTGCACAATAAGGACATTTAGTGTCGATACATTAAGAAAATGTATTTTACTGCTGCTATGTACTTTTATTTGTGTAAGATTTTAAATGCAGTACTTTTACTTGTAGTGGAGTTTTTTCACAGTGTGGTATTGCTACTTTCATTACGTAAAGGATCTGAATACTTCCTTTGCCACTGCCTATATGTGACAGATTTTTCAGGTCACCCCAGCACGGCACACGTCTACATCAGTTGTACATCCTCAGCTGGAAACAGGATTTCTAAATTAATTATCAATTATCCAGTTAACCTCTTTTATTCTATTTTTCATGAGAAATTGAGGTTTCATGTTGTTTAATCATGCCTGTTTTTAAACTCATTGTCCTTTAGATGGCAGCAAATATCCACTCCAAACTACAAACATGCTTCATTTACAGTTTATGGTGAGAATTAGTGGTGTAAAATCAGAGAAATTCAGCCAAAAAACTTTAAATCAAAGTATAATTTATTATTATTGGACAGTTAACATGTACAGTACATACATCAATTGTTTTCTATTCAGCTCCTTTCTAAGGTTATTTTCAAAATAATACTTAACACATCTAAAGCTTCATGATCATTGGTGATAGACAAAATCATATAGGTAAAGTTTAATTATCACTTTGATAATTCCTGCATATTTGATCAAAACTTATTGTTAACAGTGTCATCTTAGTTATTTTCACGACGACCTTCATCACAGCGAGTTGTTGTCATTGTTGCAGCCGGAGCTGGAATCTGAAAACATGCAGAGAGGACAAGGAGTGATTAAATGAGCCCTCACACACTCATATCAGACAGTGTTGATGATGTTTGCAATTATATATACCTAAATCTGTTGCTTAAATCTTACCTGAGTGTCCACAGTGGTCTTTAAGGTGTTGTCTTGTTTCATAATCTGACGCTGGAGAGTCAAAGAACAACAGTTATTCAGTGTAGCTTTCATCAGTGTTCACATGCAGATAAGTTTACTTGGTTCCTACCCTGAATCTTCTGAGTGGATCAGGCTGAAGCTGCTGTTGCATAGCACCACCTGTGTTTCCCTAAACAAAGACACAAAGTGACTTGTTAAAGTTCTAAAAGTCATCATGTAATCTGTAATAAAAGTGTGTTGTGGACTGATCAGTGGTAGAGGTAAGAGATCACCATCAGAGGCTGCTGAGGAAGATTCATTGGTGGCATTTGAGGGACTCCCACGATAGGAGGCTGAAGTAAAGAAAAAAGACATGAATTTGTGTGGTGCTCTGAGGGCTGAACAATATCAGATAGGACGTGATGACAGTATGTGAAAAACAAACCGCATTGACTCCAGGGACAGGGTACACATTGGCAATGGGAGCTGGTAAAGCAAAAGCAGGAAGTCCGGGAACAAACTTTGAGAGACAAAGAGATAAATGTGGTTGTCAGTATCAGGTCATTCTGTAAAATTGTTGATATTTTTTGCACTTATTGTTGGATAATGTCAAGAATAAATCATCCGAATTCAGCTGAATCCGAATTCAGCTCATGGATTTAAAAATGAAGTGTTTTTTTATCTGCTAATGGAAAAGACATCAACAACACCAACAGGAGAGCGCCATCTTGTGATGTAGTTAGTGTCCAAAGAAAACAACTAATCTTCACCAAACACATCCAATGCACATACTGTAGTTTTTGTGGATTGTGAGTTTTCTTTTTTTGTCACAATATCAACTTTTTCTATTTGTTTACAGCATTGTTTTTACACCCAGTTTCAATGTTCATTTGTTATTATAACCTAATGCAAAGATTAAAAAGTTAAAATAACATCCAAGACTTTTTATGTTGCCGTCATCAAAATAACAACCTGATAGACTGACCTGAGCAAACTGCGGCTGCCCAAGGAAACCTGCGCCACCACCAGCTACCATGGGTGGGTTCAGGCCTCTGGCCATCATCCCAGGGATTGCTCCGTTTGCCATTCCTCCATTCAAACCTCCCATCAGTCCTCCGTTCATACCTGGCATCAGTACTCCGTTCATACCTGGCATCAGTCCTCCATTCATACCTCCCATCAGTCCTCCGTTCATACCTGCCATCATAGCTGCCAACATCCTCTGCTTCTGTGTGAAGAGGGAGAAAGAGTGTTCGTTATTAACCATGATCTAATTAAGATAATTTCCTTATTTCTGCATACATTATTACTATGAATATCTCTTACCTTGCCTGCATTGACCTGCAATAAGTAAAGAGACCCAACGTTACATGCACTTCTTTGTCAGAAATAGGATAGATAGATAGATAGATTTAGATAGATAGATAGATAGATAGATAGATAGATAGATAGATAGATAGATAGATAGATAGGATAGATAGATAGATAGAGTAGATAGGATAGATAGATAGATAGACTTTACTTACGTAGCAGATAGTTGCTACAAATGTTGTGAGAAGGAGAAGCTTCATTTTGCTGCGTAAAAACTATAAAAAGACCAGAATTTATACATTTAACTCATAAAATCAAAATGTTTCAGTAATATATGCATGACATTAGTTAGAACATTAACTATTCCTGTATTGTAAAAACTGGATTACACATTTATTATGATCACATTATAATAAAATCACAATTGCACAATACATACCTTATATTTTATTTGTTCGTCTTTCAAACTACTATGTGCCAAGGTGGACTATAGTTGCTCTCTGAATTTAGAGCACCTTTTATCAGTCCCAGAGATTATTATGAGCCAATTAGAGAGAAGAACACCAACTTGTTTACAAACTATATTTGTCCCCTGTGTGTCATGAGCCTGTGATATGACATCTTCTTTTTCTAGTGTACAAGATTTAAAGAAATGTAACACAGTAGAATGCTTATTTTCAAAGACACTTCACCCCGTTCAACCATCTCACATTGTTCTCGACACAGATGAGTGACCACAAACAATAACAGAGTGATTCAGTGCCTTGGGAAGGATTCGTGAAGGTTTCTGGAAGCTACTGTCTAAAACCCAATATGAACCATCTAAATGTTGCGGGTTGTGGTCACAGGAGGCAAACAACTGACATCATCATCAGCTGCTTTTATGGAGGAATCGTGAAAAACACGCGTGCACACTTAAATTTAACTTGAGCATTACCTAGCAAGCAGCATATTGTTTTTGAGACGATGTTTGTAACTTCAGGAAAAGTGTTTGTTTGTTTGTTTCATGTCTAGAAGTGCAAATTTCTGCTTTCTGCTATAATGCTAAGTTAAAGTACTGCCTCAGGCCTGTTTGGAGGCCTGACTATAATTTGTGATGAGTCTATATTTGTCTCAAGCTGATTTCTCCCTACACCAGCCCTAAAACAACACTAACAGCTCAACAGTGATGGCCACAAAATGCCAGACCTTGTTTAATTAGTAAAAACCTCTGGTGTTTAACTAATAAACAGGAACAGATATTTGTCTGTCATGTTTCATCAGCACGTTTTCTCAAGCTGTTTTTGAGCTATTACATTCATTCCCAGTGTGGCTGGCTGGGTATGTTGTCACATACTCAGGCTGTCTGGCAAAGTTTTTTTTTTTTTTTTGCTGCTGACTGGGCAGCCCACAGCAGACCAGGTAAACACCCTCTGTGGAAGTCTGGTCTGGAGCTATAACTTATACTAATTACACACTGTCATGCAGTTCAAGTTAAGCAACATTTTCTTCCTGTTTGCAATTTAACGTTGTGGCACTGGTTGTGGAAATTGGTATTTCCCAATGTAATTATGTAAATAAAAGTGTTTTATACCCCTGTTTCATTCATTTATAGAGATGGATTTTTCACAGGCTTTATAAACTAGAACCTGTCACTCGTGAATTCTGCCGTGACATGAGTAATGTGTGAGGGATGTTTTTCATATTTAGAGACCCAAATCACCATGTTACAAGTAGTGGCAAGCATCGTACTGTAAATAGAAATCTGTACATATTTGTACTTGTCTCTTACAAAAAAATAAGTGCCATCAGAGGAGCCACAGCCATGATGTTGGTTGATGTTGTTCAGTGTTTTGAAGTACACTTTGAAAGACTTATTTTGGTCTTCAGATGATGTGAAATCAAACATGTATTGTATTGGTATGCTGGAATAAAAAACTCAGCAAAGATTCTGACTTCAATCTTTTATTGGTTATTAGTTATGATGACAGTGATTTATAGGTAACATTTGAGCATGAACAGCTAGTAATGAGACAGGATCAGGGTGTAGGAATTAATCATAATATGATATCTGATGATTGACAGCTGTGTTGTCTTTTTTTTCTTGCTTCTCCTCCATCCCAGAGCATTCTTCCTCCTCTTCAGCTGCCATCACTTTCTGTGTCCTCCTGAGGCGAGCCGCCACTGAACGCTGAAACCTCACTCTGCCAGTTGCCTGCCCACCAGCAGTGCCCAGCGGTTGCTGGTTGTTCAGGCTGGCCAGTGAGATCAGATGCACTTGGCCAGGGGTCAACAGAGCACCCTGTGGGTCTACTCCAGCATTTCCCTGCGGCAGCACAGCAAACAGTGTGGGCGGCCCACCCCTGGCACCTTGAGTCACCTGAACTTGTGGGTTTACATTGGCTCCACCTGCCTGCCCCACAAGAAATGCCCCACCTTGTTGGAGAGCTCCAATGGGAATCAGCTGCTGCAGGGGCGCCTGACCTATCTGGTTCCCGGCTGTCTGGATAAAAAACGATCCACCAAGTTGGAATAGGCGTGCCACAAGGGGTTCACCATTTAGTGGGACCCCATTTTGAACCCCAGGGTTGACATTGTTGCCAGCTGCTGCTCCATTTTTATTCACTCCCCCATTAGCAAGTGCCTCAGCACTTCCTGAAGATACATCACCCTCCACAACAAGAGCCAAGGCTTGAAAGATAACCCACAGTATGGAGAACATGTTTTATCTCGGTCGCAGCAGACAGTCGACAGGTGAAGGGCTGCGTCTTTGCTTTGCTTATATAGTCCAGCACTATATCTCAAAACAACAAGTCACTGTAATCATCATGACCATGCTGCAGGCTATTTTTTGCTTTGTTACCTTAGAGAGGGCCATTATTCGGGATTATGTGGCAAACCTAAATTAGGTATCAGTGACTTGCATTCTCAAAACCATTGTTGTAGGGCTCATATTTTCATGTCATGGTGACATCAAGAAAATTTACCAACAAATAAAACATGGTATTAGAATATAACCTGATGTTTCCACGGTCCTTTTGGGGTCGACTGGGATCCACCAATATGATTCAACAACTTTATTTCAGGACTGTAAAGAAACAGAAGTCATCATTAACAACAGGGTGCACTGAAATATTCTATGTAATGTTTGTGAAGTCTGTGGCTGTCCATAAAGCTTTAATGAATGCTACAGTGAAACATAGGAAGCAAAGACAAACATTTACAGTGTATGCAAAGATAACAATAGTTATTGTTTTACATTTTCTATTGCTATAACACATTGTGTGATAATAATTCAGCACTAAATCACTCTAACATACAAACCACAGATCTTTTCAAGCCGGTACTATATACAACACCATTTCTACTAATCGGCTGATGTAAACTTCTCCCCGGTTTGGAATGCATTAGACCATTTCTGGATAAAATCAGCTAAAAATAACCTCTTAACCTTAAATTCTAATAAAATGATTCTAGCAGCTTAGTCTAAATTACAGAACAAAGATCAAAATGTCCAAGCTTAGCCTGACACAAAACAACAGCAACAACCACCAACATTTGCCCTCTATAGCAGGAGGTAAAATTAGGGTTTGTATGTGTCAGAGATCCTTATATTACAGAGGTTCATGGAGGCTTCTGTCAAGCTGCACTGCTGGAGCTGCTTCAACAAGCTTGTGTAGTAGATGAGGATAAAAATGAAGCTCAGAATAACTGGTTGACATCCATATCCTCTGTGGAGAAAATAAATAGTAGGCATTACTAGGATGAAGTGTGAAGGATGATGAGTATAGAAATGCATGACAAATATAATCTAATCTAATCTAAATAAACTGGCAGCGTTTTTACGTAACACTCATTACAGAAACTAATTCCTGCAGTGTGTTATGTTACATTATTTCTGGAATTGAATATCTATTGTCAGCAATTACCTTGTAATCATACATTGAAAAAAATAAATTATCCACATTTATTTTTTGCATTTAGGTAAAATAAACTAATTGCTTGTGAAAATAGAAACACAAATTAGATATGTGAGCATAGCCTCATGCTCCAAGCTCTGTAATTATGTTGAAACTTGTTTACCATAAATTATTCACAAAGCCAGATGGCAGAAGTTAAGGCATTATCTATCTGGTATGTGGTAAATGTGGTATGTTGGTGTTGTTCTCACCATTCTTGATACCAAAACAGGAAGTCCATTCTTTAAAGGACACCTGCTTGTCCTTATCAGCGTCACACTCTTGGAAGAAGCGGGAGGTGCAGTGCTCCATCGGCACCAAAGGGACTCGAAGTGGGGCCAGCTCTGAGTGGGACAAGAATCTGCATGGGACAGAAGAAATATAGTTAGTACAGTATGTTTGAAATATAATGATAAACTATCATTATCTATATATGAAGGTTTACAGGATCAAATAACTTGATGGTATTTATTAAGAGACTACTGACTCAACTAAAAATCATTAGAATGAGAGTGATTGGAGAGGTTTATGCCACAAATATTTCAGTTGCAAAAATATTGCCTATTGGTGATTTCAGTGTGTGTAGCATAGTGTATTATTGGCTTCTAAACCAATACTAGTGAAACCTAAAGTAAGCACAGCATTTTTTAATCTAAAGGTTGAGGGAAATTGCTGTAGCACAGAAGAATAAAATCTACCTGTCAGAGGGGTGTTGGTCCAGTTGAGCGAACTGCCAGTGCACTGGGTAGATGTACATGTTGTAGTTCTTCTCAAAGTCCTGCGCGAGCAGCTCAACGGAGTGATCACCAGCATGAAGACGCCTCTCACTCTCAAAGATTTTCTTCACCTGCAGAATACAGAACACCACAGTTTAGTTTACTTTGATTAACAACGTACGATACAAATTACACAAAAAATTGCAGAGAAATTATATAAATATTACTTTTTAGACCTTTATAAAATATATAGTTTTTAAGATTAAGATTAAAATATATTTAAGAAGTATGATAATCCAAGTTTTATCAGTAAGTATTAATTTGAGCATCTTACTCTAAAACGCTGTTTGGGAGTGAGGAAGCCAGGAGACATGGAGTCATGTTCGTAGAGCTGCAGCAGCACATTTTTCAGCCAATCCCTCATTCGTAGGGGGAACTGGATGAGCTCAGTATCCACACATGGAGGTATAACTGAGAGAGAAACAGAAAGAAAGATCAGGATCAAATAAATGCTGCACCATACTTCAACTAAAACGTTGTTGATTAAACCAGAAACTATGTACAGTGGTTAACTCTCACGTTTGCATGACCCAGTGTAGTCCAGATGAAGTCTGTGTCCCCTCTTGGTGCCCTCAAGGTTGCATTTAGTAGCAAAGAGTTCACATGATGTCTCATATGTTTTGTTGTCTGTCCCACAAACCTACAGTAATTGAACAACAACCAACAATCCAACAATTACAATTAAATACAGCATTTGTTGAAAACCATCCCAGTTGATCATCCGTACTTACATGATCGTACTCATTCACAGTGGGAGGACATTCTGACGGTGCTTGACACACACAGCCTGGCTTGTTGTCCGCATCAAGTTTACACGTCTTTCCACGCTTGCAGGGAAAGTTGTCACATGGATCTAGAAAGAAAGACCATTGACTTATACTTAAAATTTGGAATTTCCCCATTATGGGACTATTAAAGGAATATCTTATCTGATCTTATCTTAAAACCAGTGGCATGAATAATTATTATCAGGATGGTTTGGTTTTATTTTATAGTGTGCTAACTTGAAACCAGTAAGGTATAACAACTACACAACATCCCTTACATTCTTCTGCCATTTGAGTTTGTACAGTGATTAAATTCAACTTGATCTCTATTATTCACTACTTAAGCCCACAGAGCTGTGTTTTGGTAGTGAGCGTGAAGCAGAGGGACACTATTCATGCGGAAGTTTTAGCAAAACAATCCAGTCAGCAGATTCCCCTGTGAGGCTGTTGAGATAGTGCATTAGTCAGTATGGTGACCAACCGGTAGGGGCTTCTGGGTGATGTCCACCTCCATCAAGAGAGGATCTGGAACTGGGGTAGAGATCCGCTGTGGCTCTTATCTGCACTGGATTCATTCCTACTAAAGGACCCTGGAAAAGTACAAAAAATGGCCACATCAGATCGTGTTGAGTTGTGTTTCTGGCCACATGCCCAATATTCATTCTCCTTCTCTGTTTTTGGTCTCTACCAACTCTTGAGGCAATTTTATCCGTTTTTGCTCCACTAAATTCACCAGCAAGAAGAACCTAACTTGGTCTGACTGCTGTCAGGTGCTGGGAAGGCCAAAAACACCACTAGGAGAGCGGTGGGACTGAACCAAAAGTGTAAAATTGATAGCCGCAAACCAATAATTTGAGCTGAAAGACGCTTAAAAGCTCCATTAATGGGAGTCACACTGGTTGTCACTATGAGCAACCCCTTTTACATGCAAATAGTCAAATGATCCACTGTTAATTTATAAAATATTGATTATAGCCACAAGTAACTGTACAGATTATGTATGCATTACCCATTTTCCTGCCCTTCTCCTCTTGGCCTTGTGGACTGTATTGTCAGTGCTGCTGCCCTCAGACTCCTGAGGATCCTGTTGGCTCTGTTCCTGTCCTGACTGTGTCTCATCACGCTGTGGAGAGTGCTTCCTTGCCCTCTGGTTCTTCTTTTGCTTCCTTGTCTTTCCTTTGGTGTGACTTCCACTGTCATTCTTACTTTTCTCTTCCTCCCTTCCAGTCCCTCGAGACCCTGATTCAAGCTCTGTATTGCTCCTTGGTTCTTGAGGATCCACATTTGCTTCGGGTTCTTTCTCAGCTAAACTTTTTTCTTTAGATTTGGCCTCTGACTCCTCATCCTGGTCCTGATCAGACACTTCCTCACTGTCTACTGCCTCAGTGTTTTGTACGTCTTGTTCATAGTCGTCTACGATGGTTGTCAGTCCTTTCTCACTGTTTTCCTTCTCTTTAAAATCTGTTTTTGAAAGAGGCTCCATGTCATCAGTGTGAGGTTTTATTTTAGCAGATAGAATGTGTAGAGGTTGTACGACGCTACTATCAGCAGCATAGTCGAGATCAACTGGGACCTCTGATTCTGTGCTACCATCTGTTTCCTCCTCTCTGTCTGCTATTTTTTCAACAGACTTTTCCTCCTTTTCCTCTGGTGACATCATTTCCACCGTCACTTCTTCTTTTTCCAGCATTTCTTCATCTTCCTCCCTCTCTTCCTTCACTTCTTCTTCTGTCACCTCTTTAGCGTCTTCCTCCATTTCTGATTTGTCATCCAACGTCTTCTTCTCCACATCAGCTTCCTCATCCTCAGTGAACTCACCAGACTCCACCTTGCCTTTGTCCGTCTTCACTTCTTCTTCCTCCAGCGCTCTTTCTTCTGCTTCCTGCTCTTCTTCTGCTTCTTTCTTCAAGAGGTCTACCAATTCCTCCTCACTCAACAGGACTGCAGTGCTTTTGTCACTCCTTTCAGTCACCTCAACCTCTCCCTCTTCCTTGTTAGCATTAGCATTGTCTTCGGAACTCAATTCCTCATCTTCCTGCTCCTGGCTGCTGGCCTCAAACGGGACTAAAGTGGGTAAGATCTGTGGCTTGTTGGCCTCCTCTGTGATAATGTCCTTATTTAGGAGAAAAGATTCATTTCAAACTCAAATATTCATTGTAGAAAATGAAATATCAAATGTTTTTTTGTATCAATGCTGTTGTACCTTTTCTTTGGCCGTATGTGAAGTCTTATGCAATCCATGATGTTTTCCATGAGGTTTACTTTTTACCTAGATAAAATGTTCATAACGATTAATGAACATCCATTCAGTCAATGCTAAAACTACAATAAACAAGCAGTTCTCTCATTGCAAAGTGTCAAATTTTGAAAAATATGAATTGCTTTGCTACTCACAGACAGGGCGAATGTTGCTGCCAGTAAGCACAGGAATACTAAGCAGGCCCTCATACCTGAAACATTGAAATGAATAGTTCAACCGTTGGACAAAAATTAAAACAAAATGTGATTAGTTGGAAACTGATTGAACAAAAGGCTGAGAAAATCAATCAAAGTAAACAATAAAGCACAATCAAAAGATTATTGTCTGACTTCCAACTAGTCACAACAAAGACATGAACTTGGCAAATCTTTCAAAGTTAAAACAGATGAGTCCATCTGTATGCTGCCAACACTTTCATGACAAGCAGAGCTGCGGGATTGGACTCCACTGTTGTCAAGGTAACAGGCCTCTGAGATGCGCCTCTCTCTCAGAAGTCACATTCAGAGCTAAAGTAAACATCAGAAGCTACCAGACTGGAAAAAAGTTGACTAAGTCCACAAACTTTTTGTCTCTCTGAACGGAAACAAAACAGACAGTACTGGGCCTGTCCAGTGGAACAATAGCTCCCTGGTTTGGCCCAGTAAACCCCAAATAGGTGTAGACATGGGGTGAGTGTGTAGGAAAATTCACCAAAAGCAAGTAATCACACAATTTTATTTGATCTTTACATCAGAGCAACATACAGAGGACACATATTAGCTTTACCTTCATATTATTTTTAATATAATACCTATATTACATGCTGATAAATGATGCTTTCACACTAATATAAATTATTTGATCTCTTAAAGGAGTTTAAAACTCTAAAATATATGATGATATATAGATTTTGCACAGCAATCAGTAAGCAAGATTTACATTTTTGTCTGTATTGTCTGCAGTATGTTATTGCATCATAGTATAGTATTAATAGTCCCGATCTCTTGATATGTGCAAAATATAATTAAGGCATCAACGTCAAGCATCAAAGTAAAGTTCTAGATATCGCAGAAGGGGCTACAGTGTAACCGAGCCAACAGTCACTGCATAAACCACGCAAAAAGTTCGATTGCAAACTAATTAATGAACAAGATGTTGCACACATCTCTATTTGATCAATAACAAATTACCTTTTAAAACAATGGAAAGTCTCAGCAATAAGGATTTACCTGAGGCTGGCAGTTGCAAGAGAAATGAGAATGCTGCACTAAACACCAGTAGTTGCCTGTGAAGATGTCCTTTTGTATTCGAGACAGCGCTCACACTGTCCACACAAACACACACACACACAGTTTTTTTCTGGGTCTACGGTGCCAATGCTTTTCTAACTTTGGGAGGGTCTCTGGGCTACAGAGGTACAGAGAGAGAGAGAGAGAGAGAGAGAGACAGAGAGGGACCGAGATCCTGCACTGAACTTTAGGTTACATGTTTATGTATGTTTATGTATGTATCTGCCCACATAGATCTGCAAAGTTCATTTTTCCCAAAGATTAGGCCAGAGGTCAAGAATCACCTCAGGATTGATCTTTTGAGTGAATTTTATTTACACTTATTTTATTAATTTCTTCCTGACTCTTTAAACAAAGTAAAGTTTGTTATTGCTAGATATACATAGACAGTAACTTCATACATAAGATTATACTGGACTTGAGAAAATTAAGTTCTTTATTGAAGCTTGCTTTATTGTTGTTTACTCTATTTACTACTGTCTGTAATCATGAATTGAATTGCATGTCCAGGTCTCACATTGGATTAAATTTGATTAAAGTTTTGTATTTAAACAGGTTTGTGTTCATGAGTGGGATGTTATGTTAATGGTTAAAACCAAACCAATGCGTGAAACATGGTTTTGGTACAGAAATACACACATTAGGCCACTAGATGTCACTCTGTCACAAGTCTGTGTTCCTGAGGCCATTAATATGACAAGCGCTAATATTTTTTCATATGATGACTGACATGTTGATTAACAATAGGGTAAATATTTGTCATCAGCTGTTTTTAAATGATGTTGTCTCTGGGGCTTTAGATCATGTCAAGTGATCTTCATTAGCAGAGTTTGCCCAGAGTAAATTTACATTTTATTCTGAAAATGTATGGATCTGCTGATGAAGATCATGTAAAATGACCAAAAGTTACTAAATGGACCTTTGGACCTAATACATATAGTGGAGTAGAACTATACAGAAGCATTAAATAGAAATAGCATAAGTACATCAAAATTGTGCTTGACTTAATGAACTGAGTTACATTCCACCGCTGCCTACAACCTGTCCTTCTCTCCATTCACATTAAAGAAACTCAAGATGCGTCAGATGCCTGGCCTCATGGAAACTTAAGTAACCTTAGGGCAGTTATTGTTGACTGCCGGTCTGTGTGCCACAACAAGCATCAATCGTCCTCTCCTCCCTCCTCCCCTGTTCTAAAGCAGGATCTTACAACAACTGGTAGCTGTGGTTTTGGCGAACAGCTCTAGACTGGTGAACATCCAGTCTAATTACATGTTTCTTTTGCACGGTTGAAATCCAAACTGAGGTTAAACAAGGAATTCTGTCATCTTTTTTAGGCCTGACCATATATGGACATCCAGGAAGCAATTATGAGCCTCAGGGAGGAAATATAGGAGTCTTTATTTAGGCTTTCTACTGTACATGCCCTATTTCCAAGAACAAGTCCTATTTCCAATAACATCATGTAACACTGAGGACATTAGGTTATAAAATATGTTGGGGTTTTTGTATTGTATCATTGGTGTATTTAGCCCTAATGTGCATGTATGACTCCAGTTAGCTGTCACAAGTTTGAGCTTCCGTATTAGAGAGATCAGTGAATTTTTCCCATTTTCCTTTGTCTACATTCAAGCAATTTAAATCTACCCTTAAGAGAGGCACTACCTGTCACCTGCTCCTTGTACTTAATTAATAGACAATAATAAACTCCAACTACTGGTTGGTAGATTGTAAAAAAACCCCCAAAACATCCATTTCACCGGAAACAAGCATGACCCCGTCTGGCCCTCCTTTCCCCTCTGAGTGGGTGAGGTTGTTTTTTCACCAGGCCACAAACCCTATGGTTTAGTATGCTGAACTATATTTCACTGAAGACTTGAGAGGGGGTGTAGGAAATTTAGTGACTAAATGAAACAACTGTGTGTGTGTGTGTGTTGTGTGGTGTTGTGTGTGTGTGCGTGCGTGCGTGTGGGTGCAATCATTATCGTGCCAGTGTGTGTTTGTTTTGAGCTTTCTGCTCTCTAGAAAAAAAATACACCTCGGCGTGTCGACAGTAGAGACACATCCGGAAGGAAGTGATGCAATCGTTTCAATTAGGGATACTTATATACAGTCGTCCTGGAGTTTCCTACAGCATATCCACACATCGTGCTTTTACTGCCTCGACTGCCAGCTTCCATACGTGGCTCAGAATATACACTGGGTTCTCCTGTTTGCTGCTACATCCACTGAACAAGGACCACTGACAACTTTTCTCACAGCTCTGATTCAAACAGACAACAAGGTAATTGATCATATATTGACTGATTGTAACATGTTTCTTACTCCACGCTTTAGTTCATAACGCATATTTTTTCTAGAATGCAATCTTGCAATCTGTTGGATAACATTTGTCTAAACTTTAATCAATGTATTGTTAGTTGAACAGTTTCTGTACATGTTTAGCAGTTTAAGTGCAAGCAATCTTAGAAAACTAATGTGTAAAGAGAGTTGCTCTTCACATGAATATCTTTGTATGTTTTTTTGTGTTTTTGTGTTTTTATGTATGCAACACCAGTGCCTCAAATTTCTCTCGGGGAATGAAGTCTTTTAAATTGAACTGAATGAAATTACTAACAATATTAATCACAAACTGTATGTCTGTTACAGAATGAAGTTTATCATAATAACATTTTGCCTCATTGGAGCAGTTTTTGCCAACCCCGTAAGTATAAAAGCCAGAAATAAAACAAATGTAATCATGCAATTTAATACCTATTTAGAAAACAATCTAAAATATCCTCTTGATCTTACATATACATTTAAATAATATGCACATTGTAAATCATTTCATCAGGTTCTGTGTTTACAGGCTTATCACTGTGACTGACTTTAGATTTCTTTCTGACAGATTTCATACAATGCTGTTTTGGAATCAAATGAGCTTGATTCTAACACGGTGAGTACTATCTGAAATTAGTCCTCTCTTCAGACTAAATCACATTTGATTTACTGCAAGAATTCAAAATTGTTTACACATAAATCATTTGACTGCAGTCAGGTTGTGTTCATCTGACACAGTCAGCACAAAACCTAACAATAGGCGCGGCTACTCGAAGATTCTCCAGACCTCAAGACAATTTCAGAGACTATTGTTTACTTTTTGTCTGGACTCATTTATGCAGCAACAGCATGGCGGGGCAATGGTTAACATGAACGGATCTAAAATGAACGTGTTGATTGTTGGTGTTGCAGTTACACGCTATAATTAAATATATTGTGGTATGTGCTAACTTTGTTTGTCTTTCCCAGACTGAAAGTTTGTCTGTTTCACAATCATCTGAAAATGACACCTCAGAGCTCCAGGTGATTACTACGTTGCTTCCAGTAAAAAGTATTTGATTGTTGTTTAATTGTTGCATCACTTTTTGCAAATTTTTAACAAAATCGGTGTGTATTTTTATTTCTATTGCAGAGCTCTGAAGAAAGTACCTCAAGTGAAGTGAGTTATTTTAATCATTTGATTCATCTAATTAAGTGCTGTAAATGTGTATGGATTCACCTAATACAATGTTTATCTTTTCAGAGTGAGAGTTCAGAGTCAGAATCATTAGAATCCACCTCAGAGGACACGGTGGGTTATATCATCACTCTTTCTTTAAACTTTACTGTCATCAGTAAACTACATTGTGAATGTTATTGCTGGGTTAATTCTTCATATTTCAAGACACATGAAAATAACTGTGATAAAATGGAACTGAAATGAAAGAAAAAATAGAGGAAAGAAAGAGAAAACATGAGTCCTTAGTGCAGAAAAGCCCAGTAATCATTTACATTAATAAAAAACAAAATACTGTACGTGTGCTTACATGCTTAAACCTTTCTTAGTGCACTCTTCATTTGACCATAGTATTTTCTAAAACTGTATGTTTCTGTTCACAAACAGACGTCAGAGGAGAGTAACAGTCAGTCAGATGAGGATGATGAGGTAAGACCAATTAAATCAAGTATTTGGTCAAATGTAATTTAATAACAATTAATGTATGGCACAGCATACTTCTGATCTCCAGTCAGCTCATATTATTCACTGTATTTCCACAGACATACTTTATGGCTGAAACCAGAGATAACAGCATGGGCAGTGAGGAGAATGTTCGAAAGGTGGGATAAACATTTTGCACACTAACTTGGTTTTAAACAGTCCTGCTTTAGCTGGGATGAAAGTTGAGTGACACTATGCTCTGCTTATTCTCTGCATCAGAGTTGGGTTCGAGAGTTTGCAAGTGTCATCAAAGACCTGAGCGCAGAGGACAACAGCAGCTTGGAAGTCAACGGTCTCCCCGACCAACCTACTAAGAAACAGGCCACTCATACCTCCACAAACCTTTTACTGGTGGAGAATCCCTCCGACAGCAGTGACACCACCAGCTCAGACACCAGTGACATTACTGCTGTCACAGCTGTCACCAGCGACAGCAGTGAGAGCACCAGCAGTGAAAGCAACGAGACCAATGAGACCAGCGAGACCAGCGACAGCAGTAATGACAGCAGTGATGACAGCAGTGATGCCAGCAAGAGTGCAGAGGACAGTAATGCCAGTGACAGCAGCGAGCTGCAACAAATCAAAACCCAAGACTGCGTGAACGGGACTCAAAGCTGTGAAAGTGAAGAGTATTTCTTCCAGGACATAGGAGACGATGCTCATCACTCAGTGGATAACCTGATGGTTCCAGATGAGGATGAAAGGGAGTTAAGTCTAAGGAGATGATGACGTGCAGCTCTGTGTTTTCCACTATGAACTACAACACTATTAAAAGACCTGCCTGAAGACATCAGGATGACATATTTGCTCTTGCCCATCGCTTCTGAATGTTGGAGTTTGGCATTTTAATATTACCTGCAGCTGACTGATTTTTATGTGTGTGTGTGTGAGTCTTACTGTGATTATGATATAACCTTTAAGTATTTACTATATGTTTTGATAATAATAAACAAATAATATAACCATGGTATTGGGTACTTGCATGTTTTTATATAATCAAACTTGTGTGGAAAGTAACATAGTACATTTTAGTAGACCTTAAGTACAATTCTGAAGCGTTTCTACTTTACTTACATTTATATTTATTTACTTATAAATTTCCAATGTATGCAACTCTGTACTTCTATTCCACTACATGTTATAGGGAAATATTGTTGTCCTTTAAATTGTGGTCTGCCATAGAAAAACGGTTGCCAAGAGTGAAAATAGTTCAAATAAACTCTGTGTCTGCATCTGTAATCATCCAATGATGTAATATGCATAATATGAATGGGGCCATTTGCTTTTGATAGCCTGCCACATTTTTACTGCAGGACCTTTACTTCCGCTGTGATGTTGACGCTTTTACTCAAGCTGAGAACTTCTTCCTCTACATGATACTGACAAAAGCGGCTCACCTAACTAGAGTTAGATAACTTGCTAATGTTGTAGCCAACCATTAGCTAGTCAATATAGCTATATTAGATATAATAAGCTTATCTTATTAGATTTCAGTCAAGTAGAACACACATTTATAATATTACAAGTTATAATATTATATTTTATGTAGAGTGACCATACATGGCCGGTTAGCTCAGTTGGT